CTAATGGGTGATACACCTTCCCTCAAGTTGATAGCGTGCTCCTGTTCCCTTGGTGGTAGCAATCCTTGAGGTGGTTGAAAAACCTCATGGAATTGCTGGAACAATGGCTGTACTTAGAGGGGTATGTCTCCTCTCTCCTCTATTCTAACTCCCTCCAGCCTGTGCAACTCCACCAGAAGCCCTCCCCCGCCTCTTGTAAACTCCTCACCATAGTTTTGAGAGATAACATGGTTTTGGATAGCCTTGCATCTCCCCTTATCACCACTTTTCTCTCATCCACCATCAACTCCATCATGAGTGCTTCCCAATTGACCTTGGTGTCCCTAAAGCTCTGCAACCACTTTATTCCCAGGATGACATCAGTATATCTTAACTCCAGTGTAAGAAAATCCCCCCTCATCTAAATCCCCTGGATGGTCAAGACCACTCATCTACAGATTCCCTGGCCTTTCTACACCTTCCTTGTACCCATCATCATTCTATAATATCTTGTATCAACTAATTTCACTCCCAATTGGTTAACGACCTGAATGGAAATGAAATTGTGGCCTTGTGGGTAGCCCACTGTCAATCAATACCACCACCTTTCTATCATCCATCTCCCTCTTCACCTTTATGGTATGATTCATAGTGAATCCTACCACAGAGTTCAGGGAAATCATTGCCAGATCCATATGCAGCTTCTCCATCTCTCCCTCTACCTCACCCTCACCTCCCTCTTTTTTCTTGTCATTACAGACGGTGAGAACCTGAAAAGTTCGGTCTCTACATCTATTATTTCCTGGAGTATACTTCTCATCACACCTGAAACATAAGCCGTTCACCCTCTTCTCCTGCATCTCCTTCTCCATTACCTCTTGAAATTTCTCCCTCTTCCTCCTCCTACTGGCTTCTCCCTGGTGGTCTCACGAAATCCTCCTAATGCAAGACCCTTGTGTGCTAAAAGAGTGGCTATTATCCTGTAAGAGTGATGCAAGCAAAAATTAAGAAGACCCTAATTTTGCAAGCATACTAAAAGACTTCCTAGAAAAATAAGAAATTACAATAGATAAGACACAAACACGCTTAACTTTTATAATATAAATACTACGTTTACAATTTATAACATAAAAGACTCCTAAAACTGCTTTTCATTCACTGAGAAGAAAGATACATATGGGGGTGGACACTTGCTGAGAGAAGGAGACAAGAAGCCTGAGACGAAGAAGAGGCATAGCTCGCAAGCTATCCTAGAAGAAGGAGAAAGGGATACATAGCTCGCAAGTTATCAACGAAAACCCTTAGGTTTCTTCCAAAAATTCAACACCAAAATCCTCTTTTATGCTTACAAAACATCATATATATATATATATATAATATATATATATATAGAAGAAATATATAGAAGAAAATGGGTAGCCAAACAGCCCAAATTATCTCCAACCAAACCAATTAAATTATGGGAAATAAAAGGCCAAGGGGCTGTCTAGGAGCAGCAGCCGAAGAGCCACATAAGGAACCAGAAAGGAAACCACAGGAGACAGGAACGGACACTATAGGGAACCGGAAGAGGCAGCCAAGGGGGAAAGGAACTAACCATGGGAAGGGGAGCCAGGTGGGGAAATCGAAGTGTCACAGAGAAAGGGGGGGAGGGGATGAACCAAATCTAGCCCACATAATGAGCTAAAAAAGGAGGAGAACTAACCATAATAATGAGCTGATAAACAACATCTCAAAATTAATGAGCTGAAGCATAGAAACTCCCAAAAACATAGCCAAAAAAAATCGAGCACGAAATGATCCAATCCCCCCTTTGCCTACATCAGATTCTTCCTCGGTTGAAAAAGCTCAATTCCTAATGAGGTTGTTTTAGATTTATCCCGATGAGACGAAGAAGACGCGTCTAATTCTCTAATCTTTGTCGCATATTTCTTTAGAATCATCACTCGTTCTTGCTTAAATTGTTATTGCAGAAGTTTCTTTTTCTTCATATATTCCTCCGTACACACATGCATCTTCATCTGTAATTTATATAATTCATTTTGTAGTGGATCGGTTGATCTTCCTACCCAAGGAATTCATCTGTCCATTGGACTTGGGACGTCAAGATCTTCTGACTGATTTTTCTCCCACAACCTGTTCAATATTTTTGTCTTTTTCCATTTTTATAAACACTTAAAAAAACACGAAAAAACCTAGGAATATACTAACCTAGGCTCTGATACCAAATTGATGCAAGCAAAAATTAAGAAGACCCTAATTTTGCTAGCATACTAAAAGACTTCATAGAAAAATAAGAAATTACACAAGATAAGACAGAAACATGCTTAACTTTTATAATAGAAATACGACACTTACAATTTATAACATAAAGGACTCCTAAAACTGTTTTCATTCACTGAGAAGATAGATACATATGGGGGTGCGGAGAGAAAAGGAGATAAGAAGCCGAGATGAAGAAGAGGCATAGCTCGCAAGCTATCCTAGAAGAAGGAGAAAGGGATACATAGCTCGCAAGCTATCAAAAAAAATCCTCAGGTTTCTTCCAAAAATTCAACACCAAAATCCTCTTTTATGCTTACAAAACATTATATATATAAGAGAAAAGGGGCAGCCAAACAACCCAAATTATTTCCAACCAAGCAATTAAAATAGGGGAAATAGAAAGCCAAGGGATTGTCCAGGAGCAGTTGCTGAAGAGCCACACAGGGAACCGGAAAGGCAACCACGGGAGATAGGAACGGGAACCACATGGAACTAGAACAGGCAGACAAACGGGAAAGGAACCAGCCACGGTATGGGGAGCCAGGTGAGGAAATCAAAGGGTCATAGAGAAAGGGGGGAATGAACCAAACCAGCCCACATAATGAGCTAAAAAAGGAGAACTACCCATAATAATGAGCTGAAAAATAGCAGCTCAACATTAATGAGATGAAGCATAGAAGCTCCCAAAACACAGCCAAAAAAATCGAGCACGAAATGATCCGACCCCCCCTTTTCATAAATCAAAGAGCTTGAATTGCTGCTCTTGGCTCTCCCTTCTTTTGATTCCTTTGATTTTTCCACTAGTTATGCCAACTCCATGGCCTCTCCTAAGTCATGACGCCTCATGACCTTCACCGCATTTATGATTTCTGATTTGAGCCTTTTCATGAAGTTCCCCTCCAATGCCATCTCTAAGAATCACTCCACTTGATTGGTCAGATGCTCAAACCGCTCACGGTAGTCTACCACCGATCCGTCTTGCACCAGTACAAAGAACTGCTCATAAAAGTCGTCTCTCCTGTCAACTTGGAAACGTTCTAATAAACAATCATTGAATTCTCTCCAGCTCCGTAGGGGTCTCCTCTGGTCCCTCCATTGGTTCCATGACAATGCCTTCCCCTCCTAACATAAGCCTCATGCTGTCAACTTCTCCTCTTCTGTCAATCCATTGACTACAAAGTACCTCTCCACTTTATAGATTCACCTATGTGCGTCCTCCCCTTTAAAAAGGGGCATATTCAGCTTTCTCACCTTCCGATCTCTCCTGTTTCCCCTTATGCCTCCATAGTTCTTCCTTTCCCAAGTGCTTGGACCTCCCCAAGTATGCCGATCTTCCGTCCTTTGTTCATACACAAATCCCTCTTTGCTTTCTCCCATCTTTTCTTCAAATTCAGCACCCTTTCTTCCATATTCCCATTCTTTTCTTCCAGCACATCTTGATTCATGCCCTTCGTACCCCTGTCTCCCTCCCTACCTTCCACCTCTTTCCTCCATGATTTCCACCTCATATTCCCTCCTACGAAACTTAGAATTTGTCATTTTCCCCACTGATCCGTTTTGCCTCCGATGCCGCCGTTTGAATTTGATGTTCCAATAGCTTCTTCATCATTGCATGAAGATCAGAAACTGTCTTCTACGGATGAAATTCTATCTTCCATCGCTGCTTTGATTTGGCTCATCTCTCCTTCAAGGCGTTCCTCCAATGTATCTACCTTCTTGGCCGCCATCCGAAATTTTTTGTAGGTTCAGAAAACCTAGATTTAGATCAAAACAGCCAAAAGTTCTTCCTTCTGGCCGAAAATGACCGTTGATTTTTCAGAAATCAGCCCACAATTGGTCCCAAAATCCGCTATGATACTAATTTTATAGGAAATTCTTTAATATTTCAAGTAAACCCTAACTTGCTACTCGATACATGAAAGGCATATTAGAGTATATATAAATATATTTTTGTAACCTTTATTGTCTTTATTTGTGTGTAAAATATATACTTGAGCTCCTGTCTATTTTTGGGCACTGAAATTTCGAGGTCTGAAAGTTAGATATCCAAATTTAAGCTAATGATTAGCTAAGAAGTTATTTCAGTAGGTTTGATTTCATGAGCTTAGATATGCTTTTGATTGCATCTTTTATATTTCTTCCTAGAGCTATGGCTGATCTTTAATTGAGCTGATAAAAATATTTTATTTGTGTTCATGGATATATCATTCCCGAATTTTTGTTTGTACATATAGAATATTAAATTCGTAATGATGTTAAATTTTCTTTCCAGAATTTTAAAATGTTGGCAAGAAAACACTTTTAAGGATCTTTGTTGAGTGTTGATGGTTGTGCGTTCTAAAAGTTAATGATTTTATATTTATTTATTTTTCAAATTTCTCCTTTATTTTCATTTTCTGTTCTTCTTTGTGCTGATCTTGGTGTTTCTTAATTTCTTTTCATCAGTAAGCTTGGTTTTGTTTTCTAGCTTGGAATTTTGTACATTTCATTTTACAAGATATCTCTTGTTGCTTATTTTATTGTTTTTCGATTTATCTGCGTACGGGATTTTACTCATAAAATATATTGTTATGTTGACTTAAAATTAGCGATGCATTTTTTTTTTTATGTTGGTTTGGATACCCATTATTTTTTTGTGCGTGTACCTTAAGATTTTAAAAACTAAATAACTGATTTTTTTGGAAACATAATGGTTGTTCTCTTGCCCCACATAATTCGTCTTTGTTGACTTTTTTCTTTTTTATCTTCTTTTACAGTGCGATGAGTCAGAATCTGATTCATGTGATTCAGGATGCAATGGTGGGTTGATGACAACTGCATTTGAATATTTGCTAAAGTCAGGTGGACTTGAGACGGAGAAAGACTACCCATATTCTGGGACTGATCGTGCGGGCTGCAAATTTGACAAAGCCAAAATTGCAGCATCTGTTTCTAACTACAGTGTCGTCTCTGTTGATGAAGATCAAATTGCTGCAAATCTTGTTAGCCATGGCCCTCTTGCAGGTATGTATGAATACTCGTGCCAAGCAAGGGTGTGATAAAGGCTTTGCAGTTCAAGTGGCTCATTTCTAAGGCCACTTATTATACCTTAAATTTTAAAGCTATGTTGCACGAATACGCTTATTTATGAGGCATGCTGTATCGGACACGTGTCGAATACGGATACGCCTCCGATACGGCACGAATACGTGTCGGATACGGCTTTGCCGTGTCCAATTAAAATATTATTTAAATTTGATCGGACACGCGTATCCGACACGCGTATCGCTCGGTACTTGGTACTGCTCAGTACTCGGTATTGCTCGGTACCGCTTGGTACCGAGCGATACTAGAACTCAGTACTTCTTGGTACTCGTTACCGCTCGGTACTGCTCGATACCGAGCGATACTAGTACTCGATACTGCTCAGTACTCAGTACCGCTCGGTACTGCTCGGTACTTCTTGGTACAGCTCGGTACCACTCGGTTCTGCTCGGTCACCAGGGGGCAGCGCCTCCTTGGACCCCCGGCATAGGAGCAACATATCTATACTTTTATTAAAAAATTTCATGTTTCAAATTCATGTGGATTAATTGTGTCGATCCTTCGTACTTTTAATTAAAAACTTCATCTGCTGAACAATTTATGTTTTTGTTTTTGTTTTTGTTGTTGTACTAGACATTTAAATATTTAATGCTTACTTTTATTTTGATATTATAAGATACAATGCTACAAATGATGTTGATTTCTTTTTTTTTTTGTCATTTCAAATATTATGCTTTGATTAATTTGTTATTTTTTATGTATGATTTATATATTATAATGCCGTATCCGCGTCGTATCCGTATCCTGTATTTTTAAGAATTGCCGTGTTCCGTATCCGTATCGTGTCGTATCCGTTTCGTCGTATCCGTATCGGTGCAACATAATTTTAAAAGTTGTTCAAACTTTAATAAACTTGAAATCATATCAATTTCCTCCAAGTGAAAGATAGCCTGCTCAATTAATTCTATTAAACTTGAAATTGACTCAATATATAGTTGATAAATACATATGCATGTGTTTTAACTTATTATATATGCACCTAAATAAACATATATTCATAATTAAATAACACTACATACGCATAACATGTGTTTTAACTTTTATATATATATATATCTCGATTGGTAATTAAAATACACCTTTTATTAAAAATAGTAAACTTGACTCAGAGTTTGGTTGAAACTCGACTCAAATTGTTTGGTTTATTAGTTAAGTTTGACTTGCTCAGCCTCAAACTTAACTGCATGTCACCCCTACTCAATACTTGGAAAAGATGGTTCCCTTGCAAAAATTTTTATCTTTTAGAAATATGTTTACTAGTTATCTTAATGCTACATTTAATAATTTTTATAAGATGTGCCTGTGTATAAAACTACAGAATTTATTTTCTAAAGTTAGGGTTGTGAATACAGTTTAGTAATATTTGCTCGAGTCAGTATGTTTTATGGTGTTGGCCTATTGGGTTTAGAAAGGGATTTTATTAGCAATTAATTTCGAACATTAGATGGATTATGCATCCTTTGAATGAGTTCACTAGCATGAAAGTATGAGAAAAAGTAGTAAGAAGCTATCCCAATATGCGGCACTCTTCACTGCATCTTAGAAATAAGACATTATGGATTATTTGTTGTCATTTATCAAGGAGATAAATTAAATGATACCATTTGAATTGAATTTATTATTAATAGCTTAAATAAATCAATCGACATGATTCATTAAATGCCATGGTTTTAAATGATAAGGTTTGAGTTTATTTTATTTACAGTAGCTTAGGTACTTGGTAATAATCTTTTTTTTTTTTTTTTGATTGTTACTGATCTGCTATTGTGACCCCATTCAGTGGCTATCAATGCTGTCTTTATGCAAACATATATCCACGGCGTTTCATGCCCCTACATATGCAGTAAGAGTCAAGATCATGGTGTTCTTCTTGTGGGCTATGGATCTGCAGGTTATGCTCCAATTCGCTTCAAGGAGAAGCCATACTGGATCATTAAGAACTCTTGGGGTGAGAACTGGGGCGATCACGGCTACTATAAAATCTGCAAAGGTCACAACATTTGCGGTGTAGAATCCATGGTCTCAACTGTCACTGCCATTGACACGTTTCATAGATCTTAGATTCTCTTAATACAGAAACAACAGTCTTCTTGTGTGTATAACAAAGTAATGCCTATATCCTGCTGTCTAAATACACTTATATAGCTTTGGTTGTCTGTAATATACGTCTGTAAGTTGATGGATCTGCAAATGGCAGATTAGCTGCCGCTGCAGTAAGTTTATATTGTAGCTACTTAATATTTATAGATGCTTGAAATTAATTTCATTCCTGGGTATTTCACTTGATTTATGCTATTTTTGCCAGGGCTTCTTATCTCTGGTTGTGTTGATTGCAGAATGGCATGATATCGAACTATGGGTAAAATCTTTGGTTTATTCTCGAGTTTAAGGGGGTTTTACATACATGCCACATTATTCTTATTTTTCTGCATTTATATATTTAAATTCTAATTTTTAATATTAATTATTTAATATTTTGTTGATTGAATTATATCAAAATATATACGTATAAAATGTCTTATTTAAAAAAAAAGTTAATATCGGTGATATTATGTATTTTATTGAAGGAGTTGAGGATGTGATCAACAATAAAAAAGATCAAATTTATTTTCACATTTAATCATATCACAAGAGGATATCAGAGCATAGTTAATCATTTTCATGAAATAAAGTGCAAACGAAAAGAGGTATATTATAATGGTTTGACATACAAGCTATAGTTTTTGGAGAGGGAAAAACGTTCATTTTTTTCAAATTTCTGTCTCCCGCAAATTCCGTTCTCCATTGATGACGGTGGATGACCGTCGGCCTCCACCTTCCGACACCACTGAAGGTGGTCGGAACTCAACAGCCAATGATCGGAGTGGAACAACAACAGGTAATGGCCGTCTTCTTACGCAAACGGAGATCTCAAAGGCAGAAGATCTTCGTTCGTCAAGATCTTCTGTGGTGATGGACAATTCAAAGCTAATGTTGGTAGAGAAGGATTCAAATTTCAGACAATCAGCTCTTTTTCCTGAAAGGAAGCGTCAAGGTCCTCTGGTGATAAAGGAAGTAACTGAAACAACGCCAAAATTAATCAAGCATGTGGAGGCAAAGGTAAGGCTGTATCTGAAACTATGGAGATGGTTACTCTAAAGACTCGTAAATCTACTGAAATGGCATCGGAGAATACAACATCTACTTCGGGAATGAAAATTTTTGTTAACCGGTTCGGGAATTCGAATGCAATCCCTGGACTCTGTCGCAGTGTGATAAATGAAAATTCTCAGAATTTGTTTAACAACAATTTACATTCAATTCTGGACAGAAAGAGAGTCTCGGAGGACGGAAAGGTTTTTGATGAAATGCCTAAAGTAGACTTGGGAAAGGTGAATCCATGGAGTAACAAACCATACATAAAATTGAATTTTAATGAGAAAGATGTGGTTCTATCCGAAGATGGGAAAGCAGTGAGACTAAATGAGAAAATGGAGGAATTGAACTCTAAGAAACTGACAAAGTCATTGGTTATTAAAGTTTTTGGAAGAGATTTACCATCACACATGGTGGCTTGGGAGCTAAGAAGGCAATGGAATCAATTTGGTCAATTCCACTTTACTACATTGGGTAGAGGTTGGTTCTTATGCTCATTCTCCTCTGAAGAAATGACAGAAGCAGCCCATTCAGGAGGTCCTTGGTTCGTTAATGGACATATAGTAGGAATGGAGAAGTGGACACCGGATTTTACTACTAATTCTAATAAGGGTCTTTCTTCTCCAATTTGGATAAGAATGCCCCACTTACCTTTGCAATGTTGGGATGAGAAGAATGTAGCCTGTATGACTTCAAGGATTGGAAAACCACTTATGTTAGATGGTAATATGTTTCATTGGGGAAGGAGAGAGTTTGCAAGAGTTTGTGTAAGAATAAATCTTGATCAACCTCTCCCATTAGGATTTTGGGTGGACAGCATTTCAGGAAGATTCTTCCAAGTGGTGGAATATGAAAAGGTTTCAAATTTCTGCTTTGGTTGTGGGTAGATCGGACATATGGAAAATGAATGTGTGCTGAAAGCTAATAATCAAAAAAGTATGAAGACTTCTGATGACTGTATTAGTAAGAAGGATGGAGAAAAAAAATCAAGAGGTTATTATAGAACCTAATTATGGTCCATGGATAATGGTTAATAATAAGAAGAGGAGAAATTTCAAGATGGGGAACAACATAATCAAAGCAAATACTACCAGATTTGTTAAAAAATCTGGTATTCCTGGTAATAATGAACAGAAAGATCATGGTGGTTTGGAAAATGGCTGCAGTAAAAGCTCTAATCAGGAATTCCCAAGGATTCTAGGTGAGGTGGCAAATCAACTAGACAAGGGAATTGTTAATCTGGAAGGAGATTTATCTCATAAAATGGAACAAGGCAATGTTCCAGTGGATCTTAATAACCTGGATAACAGTAGCAAATTCAGCTCGGGTCAGGTTAATTTGCTGAATAATTCAACTATAAATTATGGGAAGGGTTGCTTGCGTACTCAGGTAGATCCTTTGGGATTACCTGCGAACTCAAGTACTCCCTATCAATCAAGTTAATTCAAAGTTCAGAAGAATTATGATGCAAACTTTGTAGAAAAGCTGGATCAAAATGATTTGATCAGAAATGCATGGGCAGCTAAAAGGGGTCCAACAGTGGATGTTCCTGTAAGTAATGTCAATAGTAATATGTTCTCATTACTTCTTTCTGTAGATGAAGAGGGAATGGAAAACAAGAATAATAAAATTATAAATGCCATGGAGGAGACAGAAGAAGGGGAGCTAATAGAAGAGGTAAAAATTGCTGATAAAGAAGTGGTTCAAAATGCTGGGATGAATAAAGTGAAGAAAGAAGGAAAAAGTGATGTGATTCAGAATGAAGTGGATGGTGGTATTCCGGAAAAATCATTTCCTGCTACCCAAAAACAGAAGCTTTTGAAAGAGCTTAAACACTTAGGGCCATTGAGCAATTCAACTAGATCAAAAAAATCTGAAACAACTCTTAAAGGTAAATGTGGGGGCCCTTCCCCACCTTTATCAAAATGACTTCCCTTGCCTTTTGGAATTGTAGGGGGACTAATAAGAGGGAAGCCTCCCTTTATTTAAAAGATTTGTGAAAGATTGGGATGTCTTTTTTGTTGGGGTGGTTGAAACCAAAATTTCTTCATTTGAGAGGTATGAAGTAAATAAATGCTTGGGTGATGATTGGGATTATTTTCTCTATCCCTCGGCTGGAGCTTCTGGAGGTATTATGGTTTTTTGGAAAAACAATATTACAAATTTTACTCTTATAGAAGCTTCACCTCAATGTGTGATTGGGGAGTTAAGTATTTTCAATAATAATAAGTGGTTGATCTCTACAATATATGGCAACAAAAATTCAAATTTGAGAAGAAATTTGTGGGAAATTTTAGAAGATAAAAGCAGTAAAAATATCCCTATGGTGGTGGGAGGGGATTTTAATTGTATACTTTCACAAGAAGAGAAGAGAGGTGGGAAGAAGTTCTCTTTTTCTCAAGGTCCTCAAGAAATGGCTGCATTTATGGCAAGAAATGACCTTCATGATGTGGGAATTAGAGGACCCAAATTTACATGGTGCAACAACAAAAGTGGAAATGCTCGCATTCTTGAGAGATTGGATAGATGTCTTTTAAACTCAAAGGCGTTGAATGTGGTTCAGAATCCAGTGGTAAGACACTTGCCAAGAATTGCTTCCGATCATTATCCCTTAATTCTTAAAATTATTCAGGAGAGGTTGTACCAAAGCAAAATGATTTTTTATGAAAATGTCTGGTCCTCGTTTCCAGCTGCTAAAGGGATCGTTTTAAAAGCTTGGAACAAACCTGCTAAAGGGAATAACATGGATATTGTTAATATAAAGTTTAAAAGAACTTTAAAAGCAATGCACTTCTGGAGTAAGCATAAATTACAGAATTTCAAATAATGCAATATTCATTTGAAAAGTGAGATTGCGGATCTTCAATTAGAAGAAGCTAATGGTAATGGCTTGGAAGTAGAGAAGCTGGAATTTCTTAGAGCCAAAATTCATGATTATAATGTGAACTCAGCTCGGTTAAGCACATGGTGGAGACAAAGAACAAAGCTAAAATGGATTAGGATAATGATACAAATTCAAAATTTTTTCATTCTTTTGCAAATGGTAGAAGAATGGGAAACTTTATTCATCAACTGAAAAATGAGGAAGGAAATTTAGTAGAAGACCATGCAGCTATTGAAGAAATACTATTGAAATTCTTTAACAATAAATGGAGAAACAGATCTGGAAATGTGAAGGGTTGGCCTCCTTTTTTAAAATCCTTATCTGCGTCTGACTGTAAAATGTTAGATGAAGAATTCTCGTTTTCAGAGCTTGTTGTTGTTATCAAAGAAAGTGGAACTAATATTTCTCTTGGAATGGATGGTACAACATATTCGTTCTTCAAAAATTATTGGTATATAACCGGTAATGATGTTTGGAAAGCAGTCCATCATTTTTTTGTAACAGGGCAGATTTGTTCAAGCTGGAAGGAAACGCTTGTTACCCTCATCCCAAAGGTACTAAATCCAATTTCTCCATTTGCTTTTCGACCTATAAGCATGTGTGGTACTTTATACAAGATCATAGCCAAAATGATCTTAAATAGACTTATGAAAGTGATTATGTTCTTATCTCAGAGGAGCAAACAGCTTTTATAAAAGGTAGATCTTTGTCAAACCACATTCTTTTAGCTCAAGAATTATTTAATAAGCTCGAAATTTCAAAATCCAAAGAAGGTTGGGTGGCTATTAAGCTTGACATGGAACAAGCTTATGATAGTATGGCTTGGGATACCTTGCGATTTATTTTGAAGGAAATGAAATTTCCAAACAGATTTCTGAATTTCATCATGGAATGTGTAAAATTTCCTGAATTCTTTTTAAAAATTAATGGTAAGATCTCCAAAGGGATAAGCTTATAGTGGATTTAGACAAGATTGTCCACTTTCACCTTATTTGTTTATCCTTTGCTCTCAATTATTAACCAATGATTTTTGGTTAAGTGGAAGGAACTTGGGTATCAAAATATCAGCCAATGCTCCTAAAGTGTCTCACCTTTTATTTGTTGATGATATCTTATTATTCTCCCAAGCTAACATGACTAGTATGAGAAGGATCAAGAAAATTATCTCAAATTTTTGCAACAGAACTGGGCAGAGTATAAATAATCAGAAATCTATTATTATTTTCGGGAATTCAGTTAAAAAAGGAAGAAAATTGCCATAACAAAGCTGT